AAAAAGTAACGTCGCCCTCTCCCTACAGATGAGCGGCCCGTGCCCCGCCTTGCAGGAGGACGCGCGCGGCCTCTCCCGGAGGAATGTCGACTCTGCGCTCCTCCCGGGTCCCCTCCACTGCTTCCAACACCTGTGCCCTGTGCACCACTGATGTATGTCGCCTGTGCTGCTGGGGTTGCTGCGGCCACAGCCGATCTGTGTCTGTGGACCACACTGTCGATCGGCTCGGACTCTGTGTCAGCGTCCTCGGCCTCGGCCTCCTCTGCAGCAATCGTCTTTCGTTGCCTCCGAATCACGTCCAATGCAACCTGGACGACGGCGATCTCTTCTGCGAGTCGAGCCTCATCCTCCATGATGGCGCTGTGTCGTCTCGTCCCACGATGCATCATCAACCCCTCCTCGCCCGATGTGTAGTGTTGTCCCTGCCGCATGTCCGTAGATGTCCCTGCTGTCGGGGCGACCGATGATCTCCCCGTCGCCGATCGTGACAAACCGAGCATGTGGCCTACCATGTGAAGACTCAGACGTCCGGAGCCACCCTCCGCAGCCTGACTCTGTGGTGACAAACGTCCTGCGAAGGCACCCCTCCCGACGCCATAATCTGCCCTCAACCGGTCCGTGACCCGTCGATGAGCTTCCCATCCGCCGGCGACACCACCTCGGACAGGCGGCAGGGAACCACCAATGTGCGCACGGACCGTCGTCTCCTCGTCAACCGCCTCCGCGGCCCGTGCGGGTGGTGGGGGCATCGATCCGGCAGATCCGATGTCATCACTGCGGCATCCCGACCCGCCCTCAACCACCCCGGACTCCCTCCCTCTCATCCTGCTGAGCGACGAACCCGACCATCGAGGGCTCTGCACGAGGTAAGGTGGGGGTGAATACGCCCCTCCAGGGGGGCGCCTCTTGCCGCTCCTACAGCCCGTATGGGGGAAAGCCTGAAAGGATCCTGTGAACCGACTTGCGTCAAACCATCGGCGTCGAGCACAACATGCGGGAAGTCGTCGGGGCACAGGAGAGGTAGTGTAGGGTCCCTCACGACCAAAGCGAGCATCTCCTCATCGTTGTCGCCACTGTGGTCGTCACTGTGGTCGCGGTCGTTGGACCCGTCCTCGTCCTCGCCGTGATGGTCGCCGTCGACATCTCCACCGGGTCGACCCTCTCCCCCACCACCCGCGGCGACACCCTGTCCATCATCACCCGCGGGGACACCCTCTCCCCCGGCACCCACGTCGATATCCTATCCGACAACACCCTCTCGGACCTCTCCCAGAACAGCCTTCCCACAGACACCCATGTCGCCGGCGACGGCCCGGCGTCACCGCCGCCACCCCCCCCCTTTCTCCAACTCCCTCAGTCGACGATGCTCCTCCTGATACTCAAACCGACCCTCCCATCCCGGCAAAGTCTACAGCCGCTCCTCCTCCTCTCTGTCCAGCTGGGCATCCCGCTCCTCCGCGGTCTCCATACGGTCCCGCTCATCGAAGTCGTCATTACAGAGCTCCGACGTCGAGGCACCGCCCTGTCTCGGGGCACTCAAATCCCCCAAGCCCCCACCTGATCCCCCGACGTCAAAGTCGTCGGTACTGAGCTCTGGCGGCGAGTGGGGGCGAAGACCGGCGCCGGATGGAGTCCTCTCCACGTCTGGCATGTCCACAGGCCTTGCCCCCTCACGATCCTTGCTATCATGCGTCCGCTGTTTCTCTGCTGCCGACGCCAACCTCGCTGAACGCGTCATCTCGTTGGGCGGTCCCGTAGTCCGATGATGAGAGGGAGAATACCGACGATCCTGACAGGGCACCTCCCCCTCCTCGCCCTCCCTCTCCGGCTCGCTGTCGCTCCTGACCTCCCAACGTCTGCCGGTCTACCCAAGGCCCCGAAGTGGCTCCTTCTCCTCGACGTCCTCGTCGCCACGCGGACGTCGTCCACGACGACCCCTGACTCTGCCGATGCCACTAGCCTGTCCACCCGACGGCACATCGTCAGTCATGACGGATGTGTGTGAAGCCATGCCGTCAGATCCTCCACCGTAAGTGAAATACACCCGCTCCGTCGTCGTGTCGCTACTGATGGCCGCGTCATCATCGTCCGTCCACTGGTCGTCGGACGTGTCGTCGTCCGCATCAGGGTCCGGAGTGCCGTCAACCTGTGTATCTTTTTAACACAGAACGAGGGAATTAAACTCTCGTTGAATCCCGTTAAACTCCAAAACATCCCGTTCAATTCACGTTAAACGCGAAAATGGGCCGCTCCTGCGCTTTTCGGAAAAGTGGAATTGATGCACGGGGTCCGGAACACGTGGCCCTAGGCTAAAA